AGTTACAATTTATGATTTGTTTTACCTAAAGGTGAGACACCTCCCTCTTCCCCTGGTTCACACATGCCATGTACCTCTCTTGGAAAAATGCGTAAAAGAGAAACCCGATGATGCTAAATTCACATTAACTCGGGATTTTCACCAAATGAACAATAATCACTCCCAAATAATTTCCCTTCTCCTGTGTATTCCTTGAGCCCCAATGTGAAATTACAAGCAAGAACTTGTTTCCTCCCCAGACAGCATTCCAAGAATCATTATGTCCTGTAGATCTCAATTTGCACCAATCTGTGTGTTGTGAAGCAGATTTGAATCCAATGTTTTTAAGAAGTTAGTCAATGCAACATCAGCTGCTCCTTCCTATCCACAAATCTGTCTGTGTGTGTATGGGTGGGGGGGGGGATATTCAACTAATCTATATTTCCATTTATGGTTGTTAGTTTTAAACCTATACCCCTCAAGTTGTGCCCTCATGGTCTAAGTCAAGCTGTCTGCTTACATCATCTATCTTAAAGACCTTAACATAGCTCCTCGCAATCTTTTTTTTTGTATTGAGACACATTCAGTTCTGTGAGCCTTTTCTTGTAATATAGAGCTTGGTGTCCCAGAATTATCTTGTTGCTCTTCTTCAAACCATCTGCAATACTTCAATGTCCTTCTGAAAGTACAGAGCCCAGAACTGTACACAGTATTCCAAATGTTGCTTCATCAATGATCTACACAGGGTTAGAAAAAGTTCATTCAACTTAGTCTAATACCATAAATGCAACTCAGCATTTGATTTTGTGCCTCGTATGTCACAAGGACATAGCAAGAGCCCAGACATTTTAATTACATGTTCATAATAATAGACCCAGTGAAATACAAGTGCAATGTAGAGCCTCCTCAATTACACCATGAAAGGCAAATTATAAACCGAATTTAAATGGACTATTTGAAACTGTCCCAAGACATTTCAGTTTCACACAGAACATTTACAGCCAGCAGGGAATGGAGACTTCCATCTTTTTAGTCTGGATTGGATTCAAATCCAGGAAAAAGAGGCAAAAAAGCCAGCGTGCTAATCTTTTGTGCCAAACCTACATGTCACTCATTTGCTATGGCACTCTCATGTCTGCCAAGCCCTCCACACACCTCTCTCCAGGGGTGACCAGTGAAATTATACATCTTCAGCAGCTTGAGACACCTTCCTCAATCTCTTCCCCTCCCCCACACCTAACCAACCTCCCCAAAACAAGGAATTAGACAGCAGCTGCACAAGTTCAAAAGTTAGAGCATGGCCTTGCTGCTGATAAATGTTGCCGGCCTGATGTTTGTGTGGTCTTTGGAACAGCCTATTTAAATGGATGGAACAGGGAGGTGATAATAAAGCAACATAGCTCTGGTGAACAGTTGTGAGTTTTACTGGCCTTGTAAATTATGCTGCATTCCTCAAACAGAATTATGATGTTATGAGAGCCACAAGTGGACATAATGATGCTGCAGTTATGATTTACATCTTGGAATTGTCCTCTTGTGGAAACACAGCTTGTACTGCTCAGTCTTTGGGCGCAATGCATAATGGTTTGCATCATGAGAGTCGGTGAAATGTAGTTAGAGGTATATAGTACGGGCATATATCCAGACTTCAAGGCTTCCCTTCCCAAATCTTATTAAAGGCATAGAATGGATCATTGTGGCTTTTTGCATCCATTGAGCAGGCAGACCACAGCATTTGCGGCTCCCCCTACATTACCTATTGTACTAATATCGGGATGTAAAGAGTTCTATTCATCTTCAGAATTGGAGGATGGAATACAAAAATCAAACAGATGAATTAAAGGTTTGTCAGTGTCCGACAGAACTCTTTAGAGGTACATTATATAAGAGGTAGAGTGCTCTGGTTCACCCACACCTAGAGTATTGCATACAGCAGAAGGATTTTGCTGGTTAAACTCCAGAAGTACCCCCCAATGCACACTCTGTGGCCCCAAACCACGATCCTCACCAAACGGAGGCTGAATACTTGGAATTAGGTAAACAAAGTGAATCTCTACCTTTCCAGACAAAGGAAAATCTCCATACGTGTATGGAGAGTTCTTAGTCTGGTTTGGATACTCTTAAGCACGGTGATGGGTTGCCACAACTAAATTAGATACCATGTGATGAAACCCAAAAAATGATTGATAATGTTTGCAACACACATTCCATCAAATTGTTTTCTTCAAATGAGACATCATAAATCTGTGACCATTTGAGTACTGTTTGTATGGTTAGTTTTTTTCCCAAATGCTTTTAAGTGCAAACTATTATTGGTCAGGAAATGTGGTCACAGTTTCTGCCCACATCATAAGTTTCATCTCTCAATGAACAGAACACAAATGGCAAAGAGTTTAGGAAGAGCTGCCTCTGGAAATAAGCCTTTCTTTGATCTCTTGTAGTCACCAAAATCAAACACTTCTGTGTGTAACTGGATTTCTCTTCCTTGGTTTCCCCCAATTTCAAATTTGGTTACATTTTCCTCGGATGCTGGGACTACGCCTCAGGTTTCAGAATTTCACAGTCAGTTCAATTAGAAGGTGGTTGGTTTTGTCAAACCCATCCTGTTTCCAATTTTTTTTTAGGTCAGTCGTGTGTCTGACACATGTGGAAACCCATCACCATGCTTAAGAGTATCCAAATCAAGCTGCGATTTCCACACTTCCCACCTATACATGGAAATCCCAGAGATAGATTGCTGGAATGAATGCGCACTCTCTCCCTGGAGGGACACACCCTGCTTACCTAATTCCGGAAAGTATTAGGCGGAGATTGGCAAGAGCCAAGGCTTGGGGTCCCCGGAGTGTGCGTTGGGGTAACTGCTAAGCAGCTAAAACCGCATAGCTTGCCATTGATATCACTGTCCAGCAAGCTTTCCCGCTTGTCCAGCTTGGACCACCTGACCCTTTGGTTTGCAGGGTTAACAGGAGCCGAGTGGATTTGAATTTGAGAGAAAGCCTGGGAATAATCAGTTGGGCGATGCTGCCATATCAAAACATTGAGCCTGTGGTTGTTGCTCTCTGGATGTCAGTTTGCAGGTCTCCACCACTGTGCTGCTGATCTGTCTGACTGGAGATGCGAGAGAGGGCTCCAAGAAGGCTCAGAAAAGAACACTGGCCACCCTCCCTCACAGCTCACAGTATGGCTGTTCTGAGTTACAATATTTGAAGAAGTAAAAAAGAAATACCAGATCAGCGTGTTACTCTGAACAGCTGCTGACTCTTTTCGCAGTGTCGCATTCCAAAGTGTCAATCAATGTTCATATATTGCAGATATTCAACAAGACGCAGAGATACTCAAAACAGTCAAATTTGTAAGGTACATAACTTTTACACAGGGAGGAATTGGTTGGGAAGTGATGCAACACAAACTGAATGACTGAAAGGTACAATCGATTACCACAATGTCCTTTCATCTCTGTACTTGGATTTGAATCTAGGCAACTGATGGGATACCAGTCTCCAACTCCTGGCTGTTGGAAATCAGATCAGACTCACCCAAATCTTAATGTGTGCATAAATCTACCGCGAATTCAGGACTAAACTGGCGATAATATTCAAAGAGCCCAAAGACGACTACATTGGTACATCAAGGGTTAGGGGCTAAGGCACATAGTTGGAGTAAGGAATTTGCGTGTAAATTCTGTACCTGACCTTGGTGCACTTGTGGCAAAAACACTGTGTTCCATATCCTGGCACAAACCTTTGCTGCATGAGTAAATACAAGCTTGTTGTCTTGATAGGTTTTTGGAAAACTGCCTCTTCCACCAATGAGGAACTGACAGAATGGGTGAGCCAGAGAGCTAGATCTCAAGCATTTCATACCAGGATCACGCAACCCAATATCTCATGTCATAAATAGCAGCATTTGACAAGTGAGACACAGAATGAAGCCAAGTATTTCTAGGGAGATCCGGGAGGGAATACATTTTGCAGGTGTTATCTTTTAATGAATTTTTAGGGGGAAAAGGAAGTTATTATATGTAACTGTCTATGTTTCTGAAATTTAATAGAAATTTGGTGCTTCATTTTATGGATTTGAACACCTCTCCCTCTCTATATTTGCCATGTTAAAGGATAATTTCTCTGTCAACCCAACAGTTCTTTCCTTGGTTCTTGGTTTTGATTTTGAAACACAGGAACATACAAGATCAGCAAAGACCATTGCTGTCCATCAGGCTTGTCCCATTGTTTAAAATATCAAGGCTTACTCTCTCTCTCTCTCAAACCACCAGTCCTCACTGACATCCTATAAACCAATCTAATTCTTGGCTCACTCTTCTGAGCTCAAGTCCATTAACCCTTGACTGCATCAAACAGAGTGGGAGTCCATCTTATCTATACCCTTTAATCTTTGTTTAACCAGTATAAACACTTCTAGTTTCTGCAGACTCTCATCATAGATCACACTGGCATCCCATTTCACGGCAGTTATTTAATTCCAATATTTGAGAAAACATAAACCGTGTTTTCCTACAGTGGGAATAAAATCAGTTAATTACACTATTTTTCCTCCTCAACCTTTCCTCTCCTGTAGCTGACATGAGCTGTTGTACATCTCCACAGGCAGCCTCCCTGGTCACACACAAATTACCGTTCTTTACGTTTCATCAGTAACTGTTGGCAGTCCCTTTGGGGCATTGCAGGTGACCCTCAAGCAACCCAACATGTCCATGAAAATACTTTAGGGAGGGGTGGGCAATGAAACCTTGCCTGCTCTTTCTCTGACTTATTCCAGAGACATTGAAGCGATTGCAGGGCGCTCAACTGAGTTCAGTTATCTAAGGGATTAACCAGGTACTTAACCTGGGACCTTGCTGTCTGAAGTCCATAATCATTATTTCTCTCACCAGCTGAGCCGTTGAGAGTGCTTACACACCATCTGTGATGTGGCGCAGTATGATTTTGTTCTCTAACCTTCCTGCTGAAGTCAGTCACACGGCAAACTAAGGCAACAGCAGAAAATGAAATGGAGAAACTTACTGATACAGGGAGCAACGGGAGATCGACTCTGCTGGTACCCTTTGGCACACCGGTTGCAGGTCACGCCTGTCACTCCGTCCTTGCATGGGCATTGCCCTGTCGTCTGGTTGCAGGTTTTGCCAGCTGCCCCAACAGGGTGACAATCACAAGCTGAATAAAAATAAAGCAAAGTCTGTTACATTGGTACATCCAGAGCCCTATCGGTAAAGGTATTCACTAGGGGGACCTACTGTCACTGAATTATTCATACACCTGTGTGGACTGTCATTACAATTGTAACGGTGAAGAATTTGTGAAACACGGAAGATTTTTAAGTCCATCAATGTTAACTCTTTTTAATTTCAGGTGCCTGGTACTAGTACCAAGTACAGCAACACCTTGCAATTAGCACCTGACATGTAGAAAAATGTCTCGGCTAACTTCATCTGCTCTACCCCCACAATATGCCAATCTCAAGCTAGCAACTGTACAGCACAGCGTGATATTTATATTTCCCCAAACTAAAAACCTTTGTGACCTTTCTGGATGAGATTGCTAATTTGTCCCAGCTACAGATTGAGAACATATTTTGCCATGTGTTGTTAAATGAGGCGCAACAAGAAAAAGGAAATATTAAGTAATGCTCTTGTGCTGGGGATGGCTCTGCTTTCTCTTAACCGTCTTCTGAGTTGGGAAGGAATTTTCGGGGCAATTTTTTCCCTCCTGAATTGGCCACGGAAATTTTCGTCGTTCTGTTTTTTTGCACCCCAAGTTGGGGACCAAGTGGCCAGCAGCAGGAGCGATATGTTAGTCTACATTGTGCAGCAAGTCAGGTGAGGGCATTCTCCCTGGAGGGAACTTTTCTTCATTCCTTTCCGTCTATGTATCATTCCACCTCTCTCCTTAGTGCAGCAACACAATAACCCAGATGAACGCTGCATCACTCCTGCATTACAGGAAAAGGTACGATGCACCCCTCGTTCTCATTCTGATGTTGATTCATTGTGCATTTCTATCATACTCTGTTTTGTCGTGTAAATCTCTACATAATTATACTAATTGGACCTGGCAAATTAAAGAAATAACTACAATTGAATCCCTGCCATAAGCTGTTCGGCATCCACATGTCTCAGTATACTGCCATAAAGCCACTTCGAGTAGCAGACATCAGTATCGCAGGAAGTGCTTCAGGTAAAAGGAGGTAGGCTATGCCACAAACCAGATCCTAGCCCAAGGGAATGCCACAAAAATGCCATTGGCAGCAAACCAAACAAAGGAAAAAAGAAGGGAGGAATAGCTCTGCAAAAGGGAGGGGCAAAAGGAAACCAGCCAAGGTAATGTTTGCTGGAAAATGTGTGTGTGGACATTAGGCAAGAGCAGGATCAGGCTGAGACACAATGCTACAGTCAAATACCCTGGCAACAGCGTGTTGGCTCACATAGGAAGAATGACCATTCAAGAGCAACGGAGGCTCCGTGGACCAGCCTGATTTAGTTCCTTCGAGAGAAGTAACAGAGAAACTTAGAAGAAAATAAAAGTGTGCGCTTAAACAAAGGTAGAGTATGGACTGGCTATTTAATGTAAAAAAATACACAATATGTGGCAAGCATGCTTTCATACTTTCACATCCAAATTGTAACTTTAATTCCATAATGTCAACCCTCAGGCAAAATCCCATTCAAGGCTGATTGAGAGATTTCTGTACCAAATTACATAAACATCGTCTCACTGACGTATTGTGCAGTGTTTTTACAGGTCCACCATAGATGCAGGGGCTAATCTCTTTCCTATGAAGGTAATTACTGGGTGGGTAATGAAAGCAGTTTGGAAATATTTGACAAGATCCATTTCATGCCCAGAATATTCTTCTCTGATTTATTGCAAAACCACAGACTTCTCTTCCACGAGCCAAGTGCTGTTGGCTGGCGGTGCTGTGCGGTCTAGATTAGCACTGTCAACTCAACGTTCTCAGGCCTGGAGAACAAAAGGGACGCCATTCTTCACTGGAAAACTGGTGGATGCAATCAATTAAAACAAAGAGGTTTCTTTTCCTCCCTTCCCCTTTCAAATTTGTACCCATTCCCTTCTGGAAGCATCGGGGTTCCAAAGTTTCAAGTACTGCACGTTTGACTCAGGTCCACAATGTTTTGGTCCAGAGGCAACAGCACCAGGGCCAACTGGCACTTGAGCTCGAAGTGTTCTGCATTTACTCAGGGTACACTGCAAATCAGGTCAAACAATGAATCCAGTTCAATCCCAACATAGTTTGTGGAATTTAACCATAGAACCATGGATATTTGCAGCACAGAATGTCACTTGACCCATTATTTCTATGCTGGCTCTATTAAGAGCAACCCTTTCTGTCCAATACGTCTAACCCGATTGAAGTGGGTTGCACAGTTATATTTGCTGGCAACTCAAAGTTGTCATTGAAAATGGGTAAATCCACAGCTCTCAGGGCACAAATGAGGAATCAATGGGGTGTTTAAAAGGGAGAAATTTATTTGGAATATAAAAGTATTAAGGGACGAAGAAAGAGCAGGAAACAGCATTAAAAATATGAAGGAAGGCAGTAATCCAATTAAATTGCTCAGCAGGCTCGAGAGCCTGAATGGCGTACTCCTTGTCTTATGTTCAGATCAGATATTTTGGAAGTATTGGTCTCACAAATGACACCACTTTGGCTTCATTTCCCTCAGCTCTATATAGTGATTATAGTGCAATTCGCGAAGCTGGGGGGGGCGGGGAGGGAAAAGGTGACCGTAAGCATGGTCGAAAAGGAAGGCTTTCAGGCATGATCTGAAAAAAGGGAAAGGAGGGAGCAAGGCGGAGGGATTAAGGGAGGGAGATCCAAAGTTTCAGGGCAAAATGGCTGAAAACATGGCTGCCCATGGTGGACCGGAAGGGATCAGGGAAAAGCAGGAGACCAGAGCCAACAAAGTGGAGGAGACGGGTGGTAGAGTGGGAAGTGAGCAGGTCGGAGAGGTAGGGATGGGAGCTTACATTAACAGCAATGCAATAGAGCATTGACACTGCAGCACACTACCAAGATCACAAACATGGCTGTTTGTGGGACATTGCTGTGTTCAATTGTGTTGCCATGTTTGCCTACAAATACACAGTCCCTCCATTTCACAGAAATTCCTGTAAAACTTTGAAACGTCTTTCTGACATAATAAGGTGCTATATCAAATGCAAGGATTATTATTATTTTTATTATCACAAGATTGGTTGGGATGAAGAAGAACCTTTGACCCATCTGATGGACATGGTTTTAAGGGTAAGGCCTCGATGTGTTTGAGTCTCTGAATTCCTAACGATTTATATTCCAACAAATCCCCATCTTGGCTTCACTCGGAATTGTCACATAGTTTCTTCACATAAATGTTTGAACAACTGTCTGCTCATTGTCCTTTGACCAAAGCGCTCTTCATTATTTGAAATGTTCCAGTATTTATAGCCAAACACTATTCATTGAAATAAATTTCTGAAAGCTCGTAAATACTTCAACTTGTTCCTGTATTCCTCTTCTAAAAGTTAGTAAAAACTCCTTCAAATTGCTTTCTATTAATTGAGCAACCCACATGAAGGTCCAGAGTGCAGGACACAATCAAAAATGCAGAGTAAAAGAGTAGACAAACAATACCAATAATAATCCTTGCATTTGATATAATCCCTTATCACGTCGTTGAGACGTCTCAAAGCTCTTCACAGAATATAATGTAACCTGGATTGACTGTGTATTTTGTGGGCAAAACACGAAAGCCAATTGCACACAGCAGTGTCCCACAAACAGTAGGGTAATAATTAATTATTAGTAAATTATAATTCCAAGAAATAATAGTTAAGCAGCATTAAGTTTGGGTTTAAAAGCCTGTAATTTTTTTGCAAGAATAGAATTCCGAGGGAGATCAGGAGTTTCACAACATTGAGATATTGCTAGAGTTGAGATAAGTTAACCATCCTCACTGATTCTTCAAAACACACACAAAAAATTGCATTTGACATAACGTCTTATCCCACTGAAACAACTCAAAGCACTTTGAAGTGCAGTGACTATTACTTAGGTATAAAACAGTCAGCTAATCTGCACCATCAATGATAAATTTGGTTGTTTTTTTTGTGAAATTGAATGAGGGAATAATATTGGCCAAGATACTAGGAGAAATTCCTTCTCTCCTTTGAAATGGTGCCATGGGATCCTTGTAGACGAGACCTTAGTTTTTAACATTTCATCAGAATTCTCCCATTTCAGGAACTCAACGTTGACACCAAGTTCTTAAAAATAATGCTAATAAATTTGCACATTAAATGGAGAATAACACTCCCTCTCACCCAAAGTCTCAGCAGAGCTCCTTCCTTCTACTGTTGAAGTGTTATATTTCCATTTCCCACACCGGCTGACCTCTAAGTAAGATTGTCAATTTAGTCTTTATTTAGGAACCAGGGCACCCGGGTGAAGGATTGGATTAGAACTCCTTTGGATAACTGGAGGGTAAAACTTTCACCCCATTGGTCGGATGAATTCGATCCCAGAGATGCGATGTCAGTGTACTTACCTGAAGCACCATGTCATTTCACTGCTAATGTTAATATCAGCCATTTCCCAGAGTCTGGTCATAGTTGTTCTGGAGCCAGACGAGAGAATAGCCAGAAAATGGGATTAATAAAGGAAAGGGGCAATTTAGAAAACCAGGAGCAGGTGCACTGATACAATCGGCCAAATGCTCCCCTTCTGTGTAGAAAATATCTGATATCGAGTACTAACATTTATCATTAGAAATGATTATAAATGGGACATGTAAGGCGTTTGCATCATTGTCATTGTGGGCTTTTGCAAGATTGTTGAGGCTGCACAAAGACAAACCAAAAGGCAAAGTACTGCAGATGCTGGAAATCTGGTATAACCACAGAAGTCACTGGGAACACGCAGCAGGTCAGGCAAGCCATGGAGAGAGGAAAATGAGATAATGTTTCATGTCTATGACCTCTCGTTAGAACAAAGACAAAACACTTTTTCTATGAAGAAAATTTTCAGATTTTTCTTGCAATTTGCGACCACTGATCTTGTCTGTTAGCTGTTCAGCACAACTGCTGTTCCATTCCAGCCACTGACATCTTTTTGCTTGCTGCTTCCCAAGGGAAGGTACTGGTCTTCATTTCGCGACAAC